TTATTATTATTATTATTATTATTATTATTATTATTATTATTATTATTATTATTATTATTATAAGCAAGGAAGTACCCAAACTTTGTACAGTTTGCTTCAAATGTGCCAAACATTCACATTCATTCAGGATGTCGTAGTCTTAATTTCAAATGCTGCAAAAAACAAAAACAACAAAAAAAGTCTTATACAATCAACTTTTTCTATCCAAGATGGAGTCCTGCTTAGCAAACGCTGGTTCCCCTCCTGACCCAATCACATGCAAAGCTCAGGGAGGATACATCTTTGTCTCACACAGCTTGTGTCAGTCCAGCAGCCCTTTTGGCTCTGGAGCACCGCGGAAGGATCCCGGATCGCTCCCGCCGCATCGGCGCTTTCATAAACCACAGAACTGTTAGTTCCTTAAGGCCAAACGTTAATTGCAGTGCTCTTAAAGCTGTCTATAAGTCAGGATAAAAGCGAATCTTCTTGTTTTGCTTCTTTTTTTACTTTGAAATTTCTAGAGTTTTAAAAGTGTACCTTCAGCTGCTTCAAAACGAAGAAAGGAATGCAGCTCCCGAAAGATTCAGCCGAACAATGAGCAGATTTCCTGGATCCCTTCACTTCATTGAGTTTTCAATTAGTAGAAAATGTACAAAAATGTTTTTTTTTAGCTTGTTTTTTTGTATTTGTTTTCAGAGCATCATGCGAAAAGAAAACCAAACTTGTATTAAACAGAACTTATATAGTTGCAAAGTGGGTTTAAAATAGGGGTATGTTTTTTACTACTTTGCATGCCTATTTTCGACGTAGTAAATTATTAAAATGGAAAACATGTTTCTAAATTAGCCTTCAGTCCCAGTCACCCCAGTTTTTTTTTTTACTTAAAAGACACATTCTATGTGTTGAAAACACGTTATATCTTAAATGTCTCTTAAATTTAATCAAAGTAACTTTTTAACAGGTTTTTATTTTGAAAACCAGCAACCTCCAGCTGTTCCTGGTTGATTTTTTTAAAAAAAAAATTTGCCTGCCTTAGGATTTCACTTGCTCTAAATATTTTCTTGGTGACGATCTGAAAGCAACACAAACTGGGAGCATTGGTTTCATTTTACATTCTCTCCATAACTGTTGGGGTCATACACATCTTAAGCACTGGATAATAATTCTATGTATTTTTATTTTGTCTTTTTTTTTCTTTAATCTTGTCTAATGTGATTTGAACCATAAGAAATTAGTTGGTAAAAGTCATATTTTCCGAGCCTCACTCATGCATGGCTCCAGTAAATGGCCATTTTTTTTGAAAAGCGTTTTGATTTATTTAAGCAGTTTCTTTTTATATTACTTTTTGCAGCTTCACTGGCGCCTGATAGGGCCACATCACCTCGGATGTCTTTTGGAAAGTAACCTCATGCTCTTGTCAGTCGTGACCTGCCGAGGCAGAGCGCACATTTCATGGTCACACACATTTTTGTGATGAATATTGTATTTAAAAAAATTCAATTGTGCGTTTTAACATTTCATTGTATTTATTAGCCAGCTTTGGCTCTAAAATGTGTCAGTACAACTTGGTGAGGAAGACAGTTGAAAAAAAAAATACATAAATAAAAAAAAAGTAAAGAGATTTTACTCACCGGTCTCTCCTTTCATCATTGTGGTTTAAAACTCATAATTTTCTGCTGAAGGTGAACGGGTGATAATGTATTTGCCTGTATTTTCATGCACTTGTGTTTTGTATAAAATACCTCATGAATTAGTGGATAGATTATAATGAAACTCGCAGAAGTCAATCATTGGGTGTACATCTACAAATAATTAGCGTTTGTTTTTTTTGTAATGACCTAATTCAAAATGGCCGCCACAGTCACCTGTCTTTTGCACAAGCTATATGACTCAGCCGGTTTTACAGATATTAAGCTCAAATCCGATGTAACAGCTCAGTCATTCACAACTCAAGCTTTGAGAGCTACACACCATTTTGAAAATCGTCACTATAAAGTTTTTGAAAATGGACATACAGTAGTCCCTCGATACTTTGCGGTTCGACTTTTGCAGATTAATCACATTACCTATTTTGACCTATAAAGGCCTCTATACTGCGGAGGTAGAGCTGCCATTTCTAACCCGGAGCCCAGCTCAGCCCGACCTGGATTCAACCGGGCCGGACCATAATAATGTGCGGGCCGGTCTCAGGTTTTGATGCGGTTTTACGAATCATACAGCACAAAGAAAACTAAATAAGAACGCACAATATAAAATTGTGTTAATCTACTTGTAGAGGACGAGGCAGGCTTGACCGACCGGTTTAAAGAAATTAAAATAAGTTGCGTTAAGCTCAGATGGACTAACTGTCACTGGCCGTGCGCGTCCGCTGACCCGCCGGTTGAAATGGACTTGTGTCCTGTCCAGGGTGACATGTGTACCAGCGACCCCCGCTACCCAAAAAGGAAGAAGCGGGTAAAGATAAAGGATGTATGGATGGATCAGTTGATCACTGGACGCGCGCACATCTGCTTTCATCTGCGGTGAAGGAAGTAGCAGCACCTACAACAGCCGAAGCGATCAGCGCGTTCAATTAAATTATAAATTCTATATTTTTCCAAATAATTTTGCTCTAAAAATATTTTTGTTCATCTGTATAATAAACTTTCTTTAAAGTTGATTTTTTTTAGGCTATTTGTTTTGTATGTTAATATCCATTCAATGAAGCAAGAAATCTTATCAAAAGAAGAAGAAGAAGGAGAGTTAAATGTTCTGATCACATAGATGACACTCAATGAGTCATTTGAGTTAACGTTTATAAATTAATGTTTGACACAAAACGACTTCTGTAAACCTTGCTGGGTATGAAAACCTGGAAAACTGTTTGGTTTGAGACAATAAAACATTTTCTTCAACATTTTATGAAAAGCTGCAAATTTACCCAACATTTTTCACTCAGGTCATCTGGACAGTTTCTTTTTTTTGCTGAAACGTTTCACCTTCCATCCGGAAGGCTTCATCAGTCAAGGAAACACACACACAGTTTGACATGACTGTCGACGAGGAAGAGGGCTGGCAACAAAGGAGGGGGCGTGCCAAAGACACCATCTTAGCACCAACATAACTGGTTTGTTCCACTTTGGAGTAAGCTGTTTGGGGGAAGAATAAGTTTTGTGTTGTGTGTTTCCTTGACTGATGAAGGCTTCTGGATGGAAGGTGAAATGTTTCAGCAAAAAAAAACAAAAAAAAACTGTCCAGATGACCTGACTGAAAATCGTTGGATTGTATACCTGGATTATTGAGCATTAACTTTTTTGGCCTGCAAATTTACATTTCAAACTTACCAAGTTAAGCATAGTGATTAATTAGATTAATCACAGCCCCAGAGTGTGATTAATCTGATTAATTTGTTTAATTGATTGACAGCACTGATATAAATACTAAAAGAAATATAGTGTTCCTACTTCACGACTTTTCGTGGTGGTGGGTGGAACGTAACCGCCGCAATAATCGAGGGACTACAGTTTCGGTTTATAAATATTTGGTACAACACTAATACTTCAGGGTTAAACACTCTGGGTGTGAAAGTTGTGTGCACAGGTGGTGCTTCAGATTTTATTTTATTTTTTAATTGCTGAAAATATTACTCCTACTTTCCAACAAGCTAATAATTTCCAACACAAGGCTTTCTGTTTCCAAAATCAAGTCATTCCACTTGGTCTTTATAGTTTGGTGGTCCATTACGGTAAACGTGGCCTATTGTTCCATTGTGTGTGTGTCTGTATGTGTGAGGTAACACGCACACGCATGCATTCTGATGTGCTGCGGTGTGCACGCCACGGCGCCGACGCTCGTTGCAGCCAATTCCAGCAATGCAAAGACGAGAACCAGAGAGCTCAACCATATGCGACCACATCATAAATCTAATTGTAATTCCCAAATCAACTGCAGCGTCACCCTGCGAGGAGTGCCGGCACAGTTGTCACACTCCTCTGTAGGGTTGTGTGTGTGTGTGTGTGTGTGTGTGTGTGTGTGTGTGTGTGTGTGTGCATTCTGTGCTATGACTTTTAGTTGGAGTGGTGTTTGTAATCATACTTGACCTATTACTACCTGTCTCATTAAAATGTACATTTCCTTTGTTCTCTTCTGAGTAAATATTTGGACGTTTGTACGTTGACAGATTGTGTGACTGTGCAAGAATCCTATGATGGTTGGCGTCACCTTGGCAACGGATAATGTGTTTCTATACAGCTATGATAGTTGATTAAATCAAGGATTTCAATCATGCAGACTTTATACTGAAGGAAATCACTGCGTTCTTCAGTCTCCACGTATCTCTGGTTATCACTCATCTTTCATTCATGGGGACGATTGCATGTGGGTTTGTCTGTTAGTAAAATATCTCGTAAACCAGTGGGCAGATTTTACTGAAATATTCTGCAACTGAGTAACTTTTGGAGCCAACCTGATTAAAGACAGTTGGTCAACCATAGCCAACACAAACATAGCTATAACTCAGTCAATGTTAAAGATTTTTTTTATTTTAATGTTACAGATATGGGGATAACATTTTATGTGGTG